AGATACGTCTGTGTTTTGTGATTTACTAATAGATACTTTTGTGGTTTACTGGGTATATATATATATATATATATATATATATATATATATTATATATATATATATATATATATTATATATATATATATATATATATATATATATTTAAACTGAGTTAAAAAGTCGGGCGATACACCAATAAAAATAGTATGAGAGTTTTTTGAAAGTTTATTTAAAATCCATACGTTTTGGCTAGCATTCTAAATCGAATGAGACAAAATTTTGAAAATGTATGTGTGTGTGTGTGCGTGTACATCAACAAATTTTTTGCCGTAAATCGCCGTTTTCTCAGAGATGTCTGGATCGATTTCAAAAATTTAAAAGCAATTTGATATATCTCGATGAGGACTATCGTTTGTCAGTGCGACGATCGGCCAAGACATTTCTTTATAAATAGCAGAAAAGTGAAACATTTTTCGTAAAACATATATGTTTTAGCCCGCAATTCTGAATCGATTATGAAAATTCAAAAACCGTTTGAAAGATATTGGCCGGGCCGTTTTCTTGTAATAAAGTGTTGAAAAAATTTTTTCTACGATTATTATTATTATTTTTTTGACGGTAGATACCATAGTCTTCTAGATCATACTAAAATATTTCGGCCCTACGACAATTGGTTTAACTTTAAAAATTCGTCAAAGTTTGCAAAAATTGGTATCGTTTTCCGGTACCTTTCATCGACGTTTTCTCAGAAACGCCTGAACCGATTTCAGAAATTTAAAAGCCATTTTATGTATCTTGATGAGGATTATCGTTTGTCAGTGCGACGATCTGCCAAGCCGCTTCTTTATAATTTAAAAAAAATGTGTTAAACTTTTTGTCCACGTTTAAGCTCATATTACCAAATCGATTTTAAAAACTGTTCGAAAGATATTGGTTGGGAATGATGCTGATTAGTTTTAGGTGAAAATCTACCGAGCCGTTTTCTTGTAATTAACTGTGGAAAAAAATTTTTTAGCCGATTTTTATGGAACTTTTTTTAGCGATATATATCATGGACTTATAGAACTTACTGTAATATTACGGCCTTACGACAAGTAGTTTAATTTTAAAAATTTATCATAGTTTGAGAAAATGAGTAGTTTTTTTGACGTTAGCTAAAATTAAAATTAGATTTACTTGGTATAACGATAGAGTACTTGGTCTTAATGAACATACTAAATCATTAAAGTCCTACTGGTTCAATTATAAAAAATATTGATTTTTGAATATTAGATTTTAGAAAATACTACGTGTTAATATGTTGCTTCGTTTTTAATTATGTATAATAAGTCCACTCAAAATACTTTTAATTACTCATAAATTAATTTATTTCTTATTGATTAAGTCGATTATTTACACATATCGGGAAGTTCATGTAACTTGCCTCAAGGCTAAATACCTATACCAACTAGTTTAACATCACAAATGGTAAAACACACTGATAAACATGATAACTTAACAAGTTGTCGAAACTATGTATTTACTGTTTGGAGTTTGAGATAGAATGTCACAATGAAAATAAATAAATAAATAAATAAAGAAAATAAATTTATAAGGTTATGTTGCTTAAAAATTATGTCAAAATCTCGGAATAGTCCTAATAAATAAATTATAATAATGATAAAAATATTTTCTCAATAGAATAAGTAAATAATATTTTTGTTCACTAGTTTTTTTTATTATTTTGGTCAAACTTAAGACATGGACATTATTATAAAGACAGGATTTGAGTCCATTACCCATCAAATAAAGTTCCAGCCGGAAACAATGACCAAAGGTAAAAAACTTGTTGATGCTGGACATGTGAGAGAAGTCGAGGAACATCGACGAATCTTTGGAAGTTTTTAAATAAAATCTCGAATTATTCGACAAACATCAGTCCATGCTACACCATATGCTACATCTGTAGACGTAATGCACCTTTAGATAATTCATTTCTTATATTATATAATTATTTACGGGTAATTAAACCCTTGTATCTAAAAATATTAAATTATTGTAGTTAAATCATTAACATTGACATAGTTTACCAAATAAGTTTTACCTGTTTATAATCGTAGATTCATTAACTTTTTGAGTTTTATAAATTGCTGGAAAGATTGCCGGAACGAATCTAGAACTCAATACCTCGTCCGATTTTTTCCTCCAATGAAATGTGCACTGCAAATTCGATCATAGGGCTTGGGAACGCACGGTGATCCATCAACACTACAAATATATATTTTGCAATATTTCAGCATTGTATTAATTAAACTGTTAGCGCTATTGTATTAAATAAACATTTTAGCGCTATGTGATAACTTTTATTTTTCTTTTACTCATAAAATTGCAATTATTATATAATAAAATGTAATTAATATATAGATAATAGTTATACATAATCAATATACAATATACAAATATACATTTCAGCCTTGTATTAATTACATTGTTTGCAAAACCATTTTTTCTAGTAAGCATTAAATTTTGATAATATAACAATTTATTGACTTATAATTTTTCTTTTTGCTAAACATAACAATTTTACAACTATTCATAATACTCTGAATTGTATTTTTATAACAATAAGGCTATGATACTTACTTTATTCTTCTGACCGTAGCGATCCACTTTTCCCGTTGATATTCTTTCCATTTAGCTGTAGAAAATGTATAGAATTTGCAGTCACTTTTTCTGCTGGTATTTCTACAACCCACTACACAACAGCTATGGTGGCTTATTTATTATCTTATTAACTTCCCGAAGGAGAAGTTTATGTTTTCATAAAAAAATCCGAATTGCTAATTTTATGTTTTCAAGCCATTTTGAATCGAATGAGACCAAATTTGGAAAAAGTATGTGTGTGTGTGTGAACAGATTTTTGCCGTAAATCGACGTTTTCTCAAAAACGGCTGGACCGATTTCAAAAATTTAAAAGCCGTTCGATGTATCTCGATGAGGACTAGCGTTTTTAAAATTTGCGCGACGATCGGCCGAGCCGTTTCTTTGTAAATCGCAGAAAAGTGAAAATTTTTCGTCCACGTTTTAGCCCGCAATTCTGAATCGATTTTGAAAATTCGAAAACTGTTCGAAACATATTGCTTGGGAATCGACCTGATTAGTTTTTGGTGAAGATCGGCCGGGCCGTTTTCTTCTAATAAGGAGTTATAAAATTTTTTTTTGACGATTTTCATGATTTTTTTTTTTTGACGGTAGATACCATAGTCCTATAGATCATACAAAAATATTACAGTCCTACGACAAGTCGTTTAATTTTAAAAAATCGTCAATGTTTCCGAAGTGTCATTTTTTTGGCGTTTGTCCAATTTATAACTTTCATCGACGTTTGCTCAAACACGCCTAAACCGATTTCAAAAATTTAAAAGCCAATCGATGTATTTTGATGTGGATTATTTTTTCAGCGGCGATCGGCCGAGCCATGTTAAACTTTTCGTCCACATTTAAGCTCATACTACCGAATCAATTTTCAAAAATAAAAAACTGTTCGAAAGATATCATTTGGGAATGATACTGATTAGTTTTAGTTGAAAATATATCGAGCCGTTTTCTTGTTATTTACTGATCGTTCGTTTTCAATTATGTTTAATGAATCCACTCGGAATACTTTTAATCACTCATAAATTAATTTATTTTTATTGATTAAATCGATTATTTATACATATCGGGAAGTTTATGTAACTTGCCTCAAGGCAAAATACCAATACCAACTAGTTATTTACTTATTCTATTGAAAAAATATTTTTATCTTTATTATAATTTTGTTTTTAAGAACTATTTTGACACAAGTTTTAAGCAACTAAATCTTATAAATGTTCACTGCATTTTTTTTATTTATCTTATCATTGTACTTAACTGTTTTTTAAGTGTGTTGAATTAAATTTTAAAATGCCAATAACCATCCAAGTTTCACTCTTTTATTGTAACTTGTTTATAATTATTTATAACATTTGTTTAATAATTTTTTGCTTTCACAAAGATATAAAAACACAGGGAAAGCAAAAAATCACATAGCATCATATTCTAATATTGTCAGCAACACCAGCAACAGCAACATGAGGGCAGTAAATGAAGAAATCCAACAAAAAACAAACAACTACAAAAGAAGAATTGACGAACACCCAAATTACTTGGCACACAAAGTATTCTCAGAAGCGCGCTCAACAAGGCTAAAACGAAAATTTCCCAATGATCTCATAAATTTGTAAACGCTAACATTATTATTATTATTATTATTATTATTATTATTATTATTAATAATATTATTATTATTATCTTACTATTTCTATAATTGTGATTTTGTTGTATTTTATTATTTTTCTAGTATTATTTTCTTATTCAGAAATTTTATTTATGTTATTTATTAATTTTATTTTTATTATTATTTGCTTTTTGCTTATATTTTATATCAAATCATATTACGGATATTATTTTCATATAAATTCTATCCTTTGCACTTTTATTTATTTAAATTTATGTTATTATTTATCAATATTACTAGATGTTAATAATTTAACAGTTCCCAGTAAACCACAAACGTCACATAAAGTTAAAGTAACGTAGCACAGAAGAAACGTTGTTATGTATTCTATGGTTACGTTAATAAAACGTAAATGTTACGTTTAATTATAACCTTTAAACGTTAATGCATGGTTTTCTTCATAACGTAACCGTTCAGTTACACTGTTTTGTAAGTTTAACATACAAAATGGACGGTGTGGTACAGCTGTTTCACAAAACTGTCAAAAAGATAGGTTACGTGTTCTACTCTTTTATATATGCGAGACTCTATGCACGAAGTCACAATTGAAAGTTATTCGTGACTCTATATATTTTACTTTTCTGCTATGACTTATGACTCTAATGGACGCTTCATATTGAAAATCTTTTGACAAGCAAATTATTTCATTCTTTTGAAGCATTTATTTAATCATTATTTATATGATTAATGTTTTATATGATTAATGTAGAACGTATTAGTTATGCAGTGTGCAGTTAAAATGTTTAAAATGGAATCGATCAAGGTAAGTATAAATATAAAACATGTGTAAATTATTTTAATTTATATATTATTATAATAATGATTTTTTTTTTCAGTATATAGTTGGACCTTAATGGAAATTCTATTCGCGTATTTTGTTATTTGTAGATGTTTTCATCAAATGTATGTTTATCAAATAATAATTAAATTCTACAAAAAAATCATAACCTCAATGATTATTGCAATGTTGAGTCAAAAGGTTAGTAAAAATGAGATATACAAATACAAATTTAATATTTGTAGCCCCTTCAGTAACAATAATATAGTTCGGCTAAACAGGAACAAAAACTAATACAATGGTTTTCAACTGAAGAAATATAATGACTCAGAACATAATAAAGATATTTGCTCAAATAAAGAATATGAATGCAAAGTTAGAATATAAAATAATAATCCACCATCATCACGAAAAAATGATTTGAAGAAGAATAAAATTTTTTACAGCATTAAATGATGACACTTGTGTCATGTGTCATGGAATTGGTATACCCCATTATGATAGTTAGAGATGATTAGATGATTTAGTATTAATTTTTTATGATTTAGTTTTAGCAAAAATATGATTTAAAAGTCGGTGGATGAAATTCGGCTGAACTGACAAGAAACAATTAAGACAATATTTGAGCAATACATTCATAAAGGAATTAGCTGCACTTTGTTCCTAATAAATAATGAAAGTAAATAGAGGTAATTAGAAGTATTGTTACAATTTATATTAATAATCACAATATTTCCGAATCATAACCTTCTATTGTTTTTACTTCAGCAAAAATATATTTAAAAATTCAGAGACTAAAATCTTCTTTATTGTCTAAAGTGTAATTCGATGAAGAATTAATATGTTTTTGGTATTGTTGAAAGGACTACCTAGCTGTCAATAACTTGAAAATAATGAATATTTTTAGAGGTAATGTTACAAAAAATTTAAATCAATATTATCAATAAACAATTTGTAGAAATTGTTTCTAACCTGTTTGGTTCTGTTTTAGATACATTTACAAACAGAAAGCAGTGAAATGGTTTCAATTTGATAAACAAAGGTTGCCAAGAATTTTACACAAGACTTATTTTCAATGGTTAAAATTTTATAATCAAAATAAAACAGTTAATTCCATCCTGTTAAATAGAAATTTGTTAGAATTGTTATTTATTGTTTTAGATTAATCAAATTTTTAAAATCCAAATTTATATTCTGTAGTTTTGTAATTTTAAGTATATGTTATGTAAATTTTGTAAATTCTTAATTAAAATATGAAATAAAATTAATATAAAAAATGGTTTTTATATTTACAGCAAATTCTATTAAATTTTTAAGTTACATCAAAGACACCTACACGTTAATTTAGTAATTTAGAAACGTAACAAAAACGAAACCGTTCCGTTTTCGCGCAATTTGGAAACGTTACAAAAACGAAACCGTTACCTTTTCGCGTAACAAAACAGGCCGTTACGTTTTTGAGGCGGAAATAGATACGTCTGTGTTTTGTGATTTACTAATAGATACTTTTGTGGTTTACTGGGTATATATATATATATATATATATATATATATATATATATATATATATATATATATATATATATATATATTTAAACTGAGTTAAAAAGTCGGGCGATACACCAATAAAAATAGTATGAGAGTTTTTTGAAAGTTTATTTAAAATCCATACGTTTTGGCTAGCATTCTAAATCGAATGAGACAAAATTTGGAAAATGTATGTGTGTGTGTGTGCGTGTACATCAACAAATTTTTTGCCGTAAATCGCCGTTTTCTCAGAGATGTCTGGATCGATTTCAAAAATTTAAAAGCAATTTGATATATCTCGATGAGGACTATCGTTTGTCAGTGCGACGATCGGCCAAGACATTTCTTTATAAATAGCAGAAAAGTGAAACATTTTTCGTAAAACATATATGTTTTAGCCCGCAATTCTGAATCGATTATGAAAATTCAAAAACCGTTCGAAAGATATTGGCCGGGCCGTTTTCTTGTAATAAAGTGTTGAAAAAATTTTTTCTACGATTATTATTATTATTTTTTTGACGGTAGATACCATAGTCTTCTAGATCATACTAAAATATTTCGGCCCTACGACAATTGGTTTAACTTTAAAAATTCGTCAAAGTTTGCAAAAATTGGTATCGTTTTCCGGTACCTTTCATCGACGTTTTCTCAGAAACGCCTGAACCGATTTCAGAAATATAAAAGCCATTTTATGTATCTTGATGAGGATTATCGTTTGTCAGTGCGACGATCTGCCAAGCCGCTTCTTTATAATTTAAAAAAAATGTGTTAAACTTTTTGTCCACGTTTAAGCTCATATTACCAAATCGATTTTAAAAACTGTTCGAAAGATATTGGTTGGGAATGATGCTGATTAGTTTTAGGTGAAAATCTACCGAGCCGTTTTCTTGTAATTAACTGTGGAAAAAAATTTTTTAGCCGATTTTTATGGAACTTTTTTTAGCGATATATATCATGGACTTATAGAACTTACTGTAATATTACGGCCTTACGACAAGTAGTTTAATTTTAAAAATTTATCATAGTTTGAGAAAATGAGTAGTTTTTTTGACGTTAGCTAAAATTAAAATTAGATTTACTTGGTATAACGATAGAGTACTTGGTCTTAATGAACATACTAAATCATTAAAGTCCTACTGGTTCAATTATAAAAAATATTGATTTTTGAATATTAGATTTTAGAAAATACTACGTGTTAATATGTTGCTTCGTTTTTAATTATGTATAATAAGTCCACTCAAAATACTTTTAATTACTCATAAATTAATTTATTTCTTATTGATTAAGTCGATTATTTACACATATCGGGAAGTTCATGTAACTTGCCTCAAGGCTAAATACCTATACCAACTAGTTTAACATCACAAATGGTAAAACACACTGATAAACATGATAACTTAACAAGTTGTCGAAACTATGTATTTACTGTTTGGAGTTTGAGATAGAATGTCACATTTTTTCTTAAAAAACTCAAAAAGCGATGGGATCTTGTATTTGCCCAGAAATTTTGACACGCTATTAAGGAACCATGTGTTAATCTCGTTCAGGGCCGTATTGTCAAAACGTTTGTTTATGACTTTGTCGTTATGTAATAGTAAAAACAACCCCTCAACAAATCTTCTTTTAATTAGGCTCTCTTTAAAATGTAAAATTTTAGGGTTGAAAAAATCTATATTATGGTTTAATTTAATATGATCAGTTAACATCGTTTTATATTGCTTAGGATTCTTTCGCAAATGACACCTATGTATGACTCCAAGTCTAAATGGCTTTTATGGTCAGTGAGGTCATTTTGTTTGTTGAAAATGTACTTGCGTCTGTTATTTATGACTGAGTTAATTATGTTTGTAGGATACGAGTTATTTTTTAGTGTTCTTATTATCAGGTCAATGTTGGTGTCCCAGAAATTTTTATCAGATAATAGTATGGCGTGGTCTGTTAAATTTATTATTGTTGCTATTTTCACTTTAAGAAGGTGGTATGAGTGGTAATTTATGTATCGTCCGGAGCTAGTCGGTTTCTGGTACCAGTTAGTAATTAAACGGTGGTCATTTGTACATATTAGTCTAGAAAGCTAATCGAATTCATTTTTTATGTAATATGGGGACTGTTTTGTGATTGTTATCTTGATGTTACTAATGTACTTGTATATTTTGTATAGCGAGGAATTTATGTCTGAAAGGATCAGTTTATAAGGTAGGTTTGTTTTGTGTATTTTAAGAAGGCCGTATAATCTTGGAAAATATGGTTGTAAATTTTTTAGGTTTGTAGCTTTTGTGATTTGTTTATTAGTAACTAATTTGTCTACAAGTTTATGACAGGAGCAGCTAATGTGTTTGGCTGGGCCGTTATTTATGGTCATTCAGGTACTGGTGTCCGAAAGTGATTCTTAAATCATTTTTCTTAAATTAAAATTGTTAGGAAAATTGAGAACGGCAAAATTTAGGCCTAGTGCGAAAATGTATCGAAGTCTATCTGGGATCTCAATGGATGAAAAGTTTTTTAGCCAATTGCTGATGACGTTTTCATCTAAAGTTATTTTACTATTCAATTTTATATTGTAATAATTTGTTAAATTTATTTTTTTAAGATTGTTATAGGTTTATGGAATGCTTATTGTTTTTAATATTTTCGAAGTGCAGAAAATCGTTAACTATTTCGGACTCATTTTCTAATGCACAATCCACATAATTTACACAGTTTAACTTACCATCTTAAGGGGTTACAATCACTGTAGATTTTTCGAACAAAAAAAAAAAAAATAAGTTTAAAATAACTTCGAACCCTTTAGAATCTGAGGAAAAATATTTTATACCTAAAATTTTTTTTGTTTACTTGTAATTATGAGCTTTTATCCATGCGCTTTGGGCTGCTCCGAATTGACACCGCTCAAATACATTAACAAAAAACATTATAAAACAAAATTGTAAATTGTATTATCTTGAGTATACTGATATATGTTATTAAACATTTATATTGCATAAATATACTGTAAAGGCATTTTCAAACAATATATGTTCAGTACAGAGTCAACACATATAAGGGTTGACTATATTGCGGCTGATATTGCTGGGAATAATTTCAACGATAACCTAAGGAATATTTTATAAACAATAATAGTTTTGGAGATTAATATTAGCATCTAAACATGTAATTGTCGTTTACCGTCGTTTTTATTTTTTTTTACAATTATATTTTATTTTGTTACTTTAAAGTACAATAAATAACTATCTTTAATAACATGATTTTATTACTTTTTCTTCCGCCCGAAAAAAGGCAAAAACATACGTTTTTTTGGCTGATACAGTGGTGTACCTCCTTAAAAACAAATGCCTGCTGTTGAAATTGAATAAAAAATTGCACAAGACACGTGATTGATTTGATGGTTTCTAATTGAAATGTTAGGTAACGAATAACTTATTTTTTACTTTTTTCGCAATTTCACAGTAAACACAATGTCGGTTTGTCACTTGAAATTAACTGAGCAGAGAACAAAGAGTATCTGTCAAACTATGTATCTACCGGCGCCATCTACTTAAAATATTGGTTTGTAGTACATGCTAAATATCAGAGATGACGCTGTATGTGAAAAAAGAAGAAATATTTCCGCTTTTCTCTTTATTGGATGTAAAAAATCAGACTTCATCATCAGACTCAAAAAAATCATGACTTTCCAACACTATTTCCTTCCATTAACAAGTTTCAAAAAGTGGATAATTTTTAAACCAGAACATCTGGTGTGACCGTCGCTGTAACATTGTAAAATATTATTACATACAACGGTCAGGAAAAGGTTTGTTAATCTCGTAAACATGGACGATCCTGCCCAGGCTCGACGGCTCATATAATTAGGTTATAAAATATGTCAATAAAATGTATTCCGTCGGGCCTGAAATTAAAATGAATATTCAGTCTAGCATAAACAGGCAAAGAATAAAAAGGTGTTTTGTAAAATAGTATATAGAATAAAATTAAGGTGAATATAAGAGAAGTTTCATTTTCTAAAACAATCATCGTGGGGATTTTGCATTTCGTCGATTAATAAAAATTACAGTCCACTATCGAAGCATCAACAACGGCGTCATGTAAATCGCTCCATTTGGTCATCTTCGAACCAGATTTTTAAAGTTGATTTTAATCAACGTTTTGAACCACGCATTCAAGCTTTGGACAGACCAGTTATCAAGACAAAAGCTTATTACTACTGACTAATAAATGTATCTAAATAACTGAGTTTAAATTAAAAGTGATTGTGAAAGTGAAACCGTAAAAGTATTCAAAACTTATCTTACAAATACACCTAATAATATTAAAATTGTTGTGTGCAGTCAGTTAAGCATTGACAAAGTTATCGTTGTTGTAAAGACGTGTAATTTACGGTGAAATTAAGGGACGCTTTTGCTGCATTTGCTCGAATCCATTACTGATTCGAAGCACCGCCGTAATCCAATACTGATACGATAGCGACGCCGGAAGCGACCAGCCTACTATTTTGAGGCATTCACCAGGAACGTGATCTCTCCAGTACGAGTATTTTGGATCCACTCGAAGATACCGCCACGTTTTCCGTCAAATCAACACTACACCAGATAAGCCATAATTTTATTTCATTAAACCTGGACATATTATTGATCGAAATTGAATCTTGCTCTAAGATTTTGGGCCAATTTCGTAAATCCTTAGGTTATTAATTGTTATGAAATATTTTATTATATTAGTTATTATAAACATTACTAATGATTGGTTTATATATTTGTTAATTTATTTACACCACAACTTATGTTATTGATATGCTAGACTCCAATTTTAATATTATCAAATTAGAATTGTTAAATAATCAATTAATTATAGATTTAAATTCTGATATAACCGCTGATATTGCATAACGCCTATTATACGCAAAATTTTGTATCGGTTTGCGCTTCCCCATGAGAAAATTAAATTAAGTTATCTTGAGTTCTAAAAACAATTAAAATGGCAGAACTTAAAAAACTTTTAAGAAGACAACAAAGCTTCAAATCTTATCTTGAAAGGTTAAATAAAGATAATTGAGATCAACATTCTTCAGAAATGATAAAAGGTATTAAAAGCATGTTTGACAATAGATTCGCGGAGTACGAAAAGGTTAGGGCAGCCATCCACGACTCGCTTGACGAGCAGGATGAAGATGTTTTAATAGATAATCTTTACCTAAAGCTAACCATTAAATTCACGCATCACATAGACAATTCAAATAGTACACAAAATAATAGTAAAAATTGTGTTAATTCAGCCATAAAATTACCGAATATTCAAATTCCAACTTTTGATGGTAAATATAATAAGTGGATTAGTTTTAGATACTTATTTACATCCACAATCCACAATAATATCAATTTATCGGATGTCGAAAAACTATACTATTTGAAATGTCATGTGTCGGGAGAAGCTGCCGCTATAATTAATAATATAGCCCTCACTGACAATAATTACTCTGAGGCATGGGCTTTGTTATCTGCAAAATTTGAAAACACGTGTATAATTGCCTATTCACATTTACAAAAAATTATGGATATTCCATCGTGTTCGAAAGGTACATACGAAATTTTAAAATCTTTTTTGAATATTGCACAGCAAAATCTAAATTCTCTCAAAGCGTTGGGCATAAAAGTTGAAAATTGGGACTTTTTAATGGCCTTTTTATTATTAAATAAATTAGATAGGTACAGATACCAAAATAAAATTTAATACCTTTGCATCACAAAAGGAATTGCCGACTGTATCGGAACTTTTTAAGTTTTTGGAAAATAGTTGTTTGGCGTTGGAGCTTTCTCGTAAGTTAGACATAGACCCGGACAAAACTAATTTCAAACGAAAAGCTTTGGTTTCGGTTTCAAATATTCAAGCAATAGTTTGCAAACTCTGTACAAATGCACATCATCTTTCTACATGTAACAAATTTATTGAAAAACCAGTTTCAGAAAGATTAGTTTTTATTCGCGAAAATAAAATGTGTTTAAAATGTTTAGGTGACGGACATACAATCCAATCATGTAAATCAAAATATAAATGTAAAATGTGTCATAAACCTCATAATTCTTTATTACATTTAGAACAGAGTCTGCAAACTAAAGCAAATAACCCGCAATCTCCCGGGCCGTCTGCTGCGGTATTACCTGCATCACAAGTTTTGAATGCTAATTTAAATAACACGTGCGCTCTATTACCGACTATTTGCTTATTTGTCAAACATATTTCGGGGGAAAAAATTCGTGTACGGTGCATTCTAGATACGGGTTCAGAAATAAATATTATTACCCAAAAGTTAGTGAATTCTCTAGGTATAAATACCGTTCCAAGCTCCGTACAGCTGACTGGAGTTAATGGCATCAATATAAATGGCGATTCAATTGCACGCGTATCGATTTCAAACGAGTCTTCTAGTTTTTCAAAAGAGTTATCGTTCGCCATATTAGAAAAAATTACAAACAAAGTACCTTCGAATTACATAAATTCGTCCCAGCTAAATTTACCTGTAGATGTTACTCTCTCGGACCCGCAGTTTTATATACCTGGCGATATCGATACGTTAATCGGGGTCGGTTCATTCTTTGAAATCTTAAGGGGCGAAAGCATATCGTTAGGACATAATTTGCCGGTTTTACAAAATTCAGTGTTTGGGTGGTTTGTTTGCGGATTAGCCTATCCGAACAATGGGAACTTGCCAAATTATAAAAGAACGTTTATTGTAAATAATCTTACATTAAATAAAGCAGTTTCGAGATTTTGGGAGATAGAAGAGATTAATCACGAAGAAATTCCAAACTTAGACGATAGGTTATGCGAAGAGAATTTTGTAAATAACGTAACTAGAAATATAAATGGTCGATACACCGAAGCTTTACCATTAAAACCAAATGCTTCAACAGCTATAGGCAAATCATTGCAACAAGCAAAGCGTAGATTTTTACATTTAGAAACTCGCCTAAACAAAAATGAGAATTTGAAACGACAATATTGCGATTTTATTAATGAATATATTAAATTAGGGCATGCTTATGAAGTTCCTAATTTCGCACAAAATATCTCACAAAATTCATTTGCATATTACCTGCCCCACCACGCGGTTTTTAAAAATGGGTGTGACAAAATCCGAGTTGTCTTTGACGCGTCTGCGAAAACATCAACAGGCATTTCTTTGAATGACGTTCTTTATACAGGACAAAAATTACAACAGGATATTTTTACTGTCTAACTGCGATTTAAGCCCGGTGCGCACGACGCTAGTATTCCTTGTAACATGATTTCTATCGTAACAGGATTTCTAGCGAGCAAGAATTTTGCGCCAGATTTTCACTTATTTTATTATTAATATTAATTTCGTGAATTTTCAAATATATTATTATAAATATATACTGTGAATTTCACAATTTATATTTTATAGGTCTAAAATACACTAATGCTTATAAGTGTACAAACAGGGAATTGTATGAATAGTAAACAAAAACATGTATGTATCGCATCTGATTAGAATTAGGTGAAACAATAATAATTAAAAGATAATAAAATGCTTCAGTTTAAGGGGCACAACTAGTGTGAAATTTTCAAAAAGTCGAATTTTCAATTTTTTCATATTTTGATAGGTTATACCTTTAAAAATAACATACCATAATTTCAAATCAATATCTTAAATAGTTTTTGAGTCACAGCCATTTGAAGAGTATATACATAGTATATAGTATAACGATCATTTTATCTTTAAACGCGTTTTTCTCGAAACAGCATTTTTCGAATTTGCTGCAGCGATTCCTCAAAAACAAATGATCCGATCACTATCAATTTTATTTGTACATGTTTTATATATAGTTCTCCGTAAAATAAACTATCGATTTTTTGATAGGATCAAAAATCGAATTTTGACAGTCCAAAAACTTTTTTTTAAAAACGCCGCCATTTAATCAATTTTTGATTTCTGTTTTATCGTAGTTCATTTTGCAGACAATATTATCTAGTTTAACAAATTTTTTTTTTTTGGATTTGATCCACGTAGAAGGCCGATATCACTGCAGCAGTGAAGGGCCTTTTTTGTGCCGTTGGAGATCGACAATAACATAAAAGATATTTGGTTTTTTTCTTCAAAAATTTTGAGATGTGCTGATTAGTTTTTGGCAAAGGCAGGTCCAGCAATTACAGAGATGAAGAGCAATGAGTGCAAAAATATAAATTGAGTTTTTGAGAGAACGGAGCATCCGATTTGAATGATCTAAAAACATTCAACTAGTAATGATTGGGAGAAGTGGTAATTAGTTTTTGGCAAAGGCAGGCCCAGTCATTTCGAAGATATAGAGCTAAATGTGCAAAAGATGGCAGTTTTTGAGAGAACTAAGCGTCCGATTTAAATGATTTAAAGAACTTTCTGCTTGTTTTAACGAAATAATTGATTTTGGAGAAAAAAATTGTTTAAAATTTTTTTTTCAAAAATTTTTTTTTTCGAAAAAAAATTTTTTTTTGTATATCGAAAATAATTCAGATTTTTATTTTAATTCTGTTCTAATATTCTTTACACAAATAATTTCAACTTTCCAATTCAGTTTATATAATTCTTATAAATATTAGACAATGTTACAATATTTATAAAAATCTATTTTAAAACATTTAATATTCCTCGATCATTTCGTTAGTGTACGGGAAGTTCCAGCAATTTGCCTTAAGGCACGATGCCATACACCCCACTATTTTTTTTAATTTTGAGTATTTTTGCAAATTTCGAAATTTTTGAAATAAAACGATTTGATTTTTTTTTTAATTTTTTGGAAATTTTGAAATTTTTTGATATTTCAGATAAAATTACGAAAATTTGAATAAAAAATACATATTTAAATTTTTTCGGAAATTTGAATATTTTAAAATTATTGAACTGCCTTTCCTAAACTAATCATTTATTCACGCCGCTATGTATACACAAATATCTATTTACAAAATAAAAACTAAACGCTTTCAAAATCGAAGTACATGAATCAAGTACGCATTGATATTTACGTGACAAAATACAGCTGTCCTATTGGACACTGAAGGTATCGGTCACGAGATAGTTCATCTCTCGGCGAATAGGACATGCTCTATTCCTAAAATACGGCAGGAATTTGCGAGGACATAAGTTGTTATGAAATCAAATTCCGAAGTTGCTAAGGCAACGTTTTTACATAGAAATTATGATGAGTATACCGCCGTTGTGAATACGTGAAATCTAGCAGGCCAGATCGCAAATTATGTCGCGCAAGATCGTAAATTATGACTTATCATGTCGTTGCTAGAGTAACAACCAAACAAAAACTGTCCAGCATGAAAACTGGCGTCGTGTGCACCGGGCTTTAGATCGTATAATTATGTAATGACCGCGGATATTGTAAAAATGTTTCGGCAAATTCGCGTCAAGGAAGAACATCAAAATTTGCAACAAATTTTATGGCGTGAAAATGTTCATGACAATTTTTTTTTTTTTTTTATTTTATTAATGGCATTTGACCGTGTGGTCATTTAGCCTCTTATTACAAAATGATATTTTACAAATTTATAACTTTCAGAGAAATATACATATTTTACAAATTGTTTACAACATAAGATTGTGATTTAATTCATAAAACCTTAATAACTAATACTTAATAACTATAATTTAATGTTACATTTTTGTAAAAAATTAACAAAAATTTTATATATATTTTCATCATTAGAGGAAAAGGCTATTGTGGTGTTAATAGGAAAAATGAAATTATATTTATACAGTTCTTGTAGTAGGGATGTTCTTTGACTAGCATAGAGTTTGCACTTCCAGAAGATGTGGTCAAGATTGTGTATTTCCAAACCGCACGAACAGAAGGGATCTTTTGCCATACCTATTCTAAAAAGATGAGATTTGCAAAATGTGTGTGCAGATCTAATACGATTGATGATGGTTATTTCGTTTCTAATTAAACCTGGATTTGGCAAACCATGTACTGAAAGACACTTTTGGTTTGCAACATTTAAATAAGGTTCCTTTTCTGTCTTCCATATCATATTCATTTTGCCATAACCTTAATCCTTGTTTCCTTACCCAGCTTTTAAGATCAGTCGCAGGAGCCTTTCTTGAAGGAAAAACTGATAAACAGGCTTCTTTTGCAAGTCCATCCACATATTCGTTTCCACGAATGTTGGAATGCCCTTTTATCCATATTAATTTGAACTCATATTTATTTGCTAAGATACTTTCTATTTTGTGGATAGTGTCAAATATTAAAAAATTGCAATTTTGTTTAGGATGGTTTAGAGCCAGAAGTGCAGATTTACTGTCAGTTAGGATTATGGTTTTTGAAGTCTTTTCTTGTATAACGAAGTCTAAGGCAGCATTAATACCTGTAAGTTCTGCCGAAAAGACTGAGGCAAAACCCGGCAAATTGAATTGTAAATGTTTAACTCTATTAGGCACATACACAGCACATCCAACTTTGTTTTCTAACTTGGAACCGTCAGTGTAGATAACCGTAAAATCTTTCCATTCCGTATCTAACCAATTGTCAAACTCCCAGTTTATTATATTTTTGTTAGAATAACCTGTCGTATAATTGAAATCATTCAACCCTATATATTTCTTGGGAAATGAGTATTTCCAAGAATGACTATGATACGGAAGTTTGTCATTTGTAATTATTAGATCTTCTAAAGGTTTCAAATTATAAAAACCAGTTATTAACGGAGGTGTAGGTCTGTTTCTCCAATAGTTCGCTCTAAAATGCAGAACAGCTAGATCTTCCAATTGCTTCGGGATTCGAGCTGAATCCGAGTTGAATTTTTTAATTAAAAATCTATTGGTTAATATTTGTTTCCTAATATTCAATGGAGTTTCCCCGGCTTCCGCTAAAACGGCAATGCGAGGAGTTGACCTTATAGTTCCCAAACACAATCTTAAAGCCGAGAGTTGAGCCTTATCTAACATTCCTTGTATATTAGTTGAGATTCCTCCGTAAATGATGTATCCGTAATCAATATGAGATCTAATTATGGATTTGTAGATAGCCAAACATGAACTTGGGTGGGCTCCCCAGTCAGTTCCAACCAATCTTCTAATGATGTTCTTACCTACTTCACATTTTTTGACCACCTCTTCTACGTGCGCCCGGAAGGTCATCTTTTTATCAAAGATAACCCCTAAAATTTTCAGACTATCGTATATCTTACAGTTCCAATTTCCCATATTGATTTCTTGAGGGTAAAGGAATTTTCTGTGCCTAGTGAACAGGATCCCCTTTGTTTTGATCAAGGAAAGGTTTAAGTGGTTGGACCTCATCCATTCTGAGACACCTGTGATCGACCGCTTCATTTTGTGAATGCATTCCTCAAGCGAGTTGCAAGAAATATACAAAAATAAATCATCAGCATACTGTAGTTTCCTAACATCGTCTTGGGTTCCTGCAGAAAAATCCGACATGTAAATATTAAATAATAATGGACTCAAAATCGATCCTTGTGGTAAGCCTGTTAGAGCTACTCTGGGACCTATTAATTTATTTTTGTATTTTACATATAGCAACCTATTCGTTAGTAAAAGAATTATCACTTTTATAATATTATGGGAAATATTCAACTTCTTAAGTCAGTTAAGTAAAATGCTATGATCAACATTATCGTAAGCCTTGTGTATGTCCGTCGCTAACAGTAGCAGGTATCTATTATTTGAATTGGATATATGAATGTCATTGGATAAGGTACTTAAGAGGCCATTTGTGCCTTGACCTCTTCTAAAGCCAAATTGGTTATGATTGAAAAGAGACTTATTTTCTAAATACCACTCCAGTCTATTCTTGACGATGGCTTCAAATGTCTTGTTCAAGCATGATAATAAAGAGATAGGTCGGTAGGATTCTATCGACAATGGATCTTAATTCGATTTCAAGATGGGAATAATTATAATTTTTTTCCAATCCTCTGGAATCCAGCATGTAGAAAGAATTGAATTAAATACTTCTATGATTAAACATTTTAATGCTATGGGGCTCTTCTTTAGCATAATGTAAGAGATATTATCCATACCTGGCACGCTGTCTTTTTTATTTTTCAATATATTATCTAATTCGTAAAGTCTGATGGGAGAGTTTAAGTCAACGGGACCTTTTTCGCGATTATTTGCAAAATTCAGATTGATTTCATTGGAGACAAAGTCTGGAACGAACATTTTTAGCATGTCTTCGAAGAATGAGCTACAGACGGGATGCTTAGATGAGTTTCTATTATTTTTGTTGTTAAAAATTTTAACTATATTCCATAGCTTTGATGTATTAATATTACTATTGAGTGAGTTTGTAAAATCCATCCACTTTTTTCTCTTTCATGACAAAATTAAATGTTTTAATTTATCTACAGTTACTTATGGAACTGCTTGTGCGCCATCGCTGTCCAACACGATTGATACGTGGATGATATTATTTCGGGTGCAAATTCATTAGAAGGGGCAATAAAGTTAAAGGAGGAACTAATACAACTTTTTAATTGTGGCAATTTTCAATTGCATAAATGGGCTGCTAAAAACAGTAGCATTATTGATTCCGTTTCTTCACAAAATCGCGAAACAAATGCGTTCAATTTAACCGATAATAAAAATATAATTAAGGCTTTGGGTTTACTGTGGGACCCCAAGAAAGATGTATTTCAAATCTTTTCAAATGCTTTAATTCCATCATCACAAATAACAAAGCGCGCCATTTTATCATCTATTGCCAAAATTTTCGACCCTCTCGGCCTTATTTCGCCTAGTGTAGTTTTAGCTAACTTAATAATGCAAGATATATGGCAGCTAAAAACCGATTGGGATGAAGTTGTTGATAGCACTATTATGAACCGTTGGCTCGATTTTGAAAATAATATAATACACATGCAAAATATAATCATTCCGCGTCCGTTATTTGAATTAGACAAAATTGATCGGATTGAAATTCATGGTTTTTGCGATGCCTCCATGAAAGCTTACGGAGCTTGTTTATACATTAAAACTAATTATAATAATAGGGAGCCTACAGTACGCTTATTATGCTCAAAATCTAGAGTGGCTCCGCTTAAATCGAAACCCTACCTCGGCTTGAACTCTGCGCTGCACTATTGTTAACAAGATTATACAAAAATACCGTTAAGTCTTTAAATTTCAAAGTAGATAATAATTATTTTTGGAGTGATTCAAGTATTACCTTGTGTTGGATCATCACGCGGCCAGAAAAATTAAAACAGTTTGTAGGAAACAGAGTAGCGGAAATACAAACTCTTAATAATATAATATGGCGACATGTACCGACAACGGACAATCCGGCCGATTTCATTTCGCGCGGTCATAAGTTAATAAACATGGACTTGTGGTGGTATGGTCCAGCATGGGTTAAATTTGAAACTGACTCCTGGCCGTCAATTTTTAAAGTAACGGATAATATCAATTTTGAAGTTCCCGAACAAACAGTTCAAAGAAAAATAAATACTTGTGCACAGAGGATGGACGACATGTTCTTACGATTTTCTTGTTTTAATAAACTCCAACGCGTAATGGCTTATTGCATTAGGTTTATTAAAATCTGCAAGAATAAGACTGTCGGACCGCTGACAGTAACCGAATTACAAGAATCATTACACCATATTGTTAAAATCGTTCAAAAACAAAATTTTGAAAACATTCTCAAATATTTGAATAGCGGATCTGCTAGTACAAAAATAGATAAACAGATTTTAGGTTTAAATCCATTTTTAGATGAGAAGGGTCTATCACGCGTTGGGGGTCGAATACAAATGACAAACATAGAATATGAACAAAAGTTTCCATTGTTATTACCAGCAGATAATCATTTAACAAATTTAATTTTAAAACGGTCCACAGACCGTTCCAGCTAATGTTAGACTGCAGTTTTGGCCAATCAAAGGTAGAATGGCAATAAAACGTATAATCAAAAATTGTGTACGCTGCTTTCGTTTTAATTCTACTAGTTCTCAGCAGATAATGGGAAATCTACCAATTGAACAAGTATCCATAGCCTGTCCTTTTTTAAATACCGGAGTAGACTATGCAGGCCCAATCAATTTGCGTACAAGTCGGCTACGAAAAGCACCGCAAATAAAGGGCTACATAGCACTTTTTATTTGTTTTAGTACAAAAGCCATACATCTGGAACTAGTTACCAGTTTGACAACCGACGCATTTATAGCTACTTTGAAACGTTTTATCTCGCGCAGAGGCAAAAGCAGTAAAATTTTTTCTGACAATTAGGCGCTAGGCATGAGTTACATAAACTGTATAATTTGTTTAAAAATGAGCATAGTAGAAAAGAGGTGATTAATGAGTGGAAATTTAATCCACCCCACGCACCACACTTTGGTGGTTTGTGGGAAAGCGCGGCAAAATTAATTAAGCATCATTTGCGAAGAGTAGTGGGAGAAACTTGTCTAACTTACAAAGAATTTTCCACGGTTTTAACCCAAATAGAAGCAATAGTTAATTCAAGGCCAATTACAAGTATTTTTGATGACAGAAATGAACCCACGTTTTTAAGTCCCGGACATTTTTTGATAGGTGCGCTTACCGCATTTCCGGAACCCAGCTTAATCGACGTAACGTTAAGTAGATTATCACTTTGGCAACAACTTAATCAATTAAAAGATAAATTTTGGAAACGTTGGCCCATAGAGTATCTCGGCCAGCTTCAGAGTCGTTACAAATGGAAAACTTCATCAAAAAATTTAAAAGTAGACGACATAGTTCTTTTAAAGGAAGATAATTTACCTCCACTAAGCTGGTTACTGGGTCGCGTTATAGACACTGCAATCGGCAAAGATAAAAATGTGAGAGTAGCTACAGTAAAAACAAAAAATGGTATATTTATGAGGCCAATTGTTAAATTGTGCCCTTTACCAGTAGGAGATGTAGAATAGAATTTTTTTTTTCTCATAAAATAAATATATTACTGTACTTTCATTATTTACACAGTACAATTATTTTAAAATTAGTATTAAGAATTATGTTCTACTATAAAATTCATATTGGTATTTGTCAATAATCCTTTTTTTTATATAAACTGTTGTGATCAAAACATTCACATAATTTCACAATTACTTTGTAATTTTAATTAGTACATAATTTCATTGTAAAATTACATATTTATATACATACTGATCTTAACTATAAGTGAATAATTAAGGCGGCGGAGAATGGATAATTTTTAAACCAGAACATCTGGTGTGACCGTCGCTGTAACATTGTAAAATATTATTACATACAACAGTCAGGAAAAGGTTTGTTAATCCCGTAAACATGGACGATCCTATTATATTCTAGTCTAATATTCAGTCTAGCATAAACAGGCAAAGAATAAGGAGGTGTTTTGTAAAATAGTATATAGAATAAAATTAAGGTGAATATAAGAGAAGTTTCATTTTCTAAAACAATCATCGTGGGGATTTTGCATTTCGTCGATTAATAAAAATTACAGTCCTTTATCGAAGCATCAACAACAACGTCATGTAAATCGCTCCAAAAAGTTAATGAATTTTTTCCTCTTGGTCATTGTTTCTGGCTGGAATTTTATTTGATTGGTTATGGTGATGGGCTCCTGTCTTTATAATAATGTCCAAGTTTTTAGTTAAACCAAAAAAAAAAACGAGTGATTTAAATTATTATTTACTTATTCTATTGAGAAAATATTTTTATCTTTATTATAATTTTGTTTTTAAGAACTATTTTGACACAAGTTTTAAACAACTAATTCTTTTAAATGTTTACTGCATTTCTTTATTTATTTTATCATTGTACTTACGTATGTTTTAAGTGTGTTGAATTAAATTTTAAAATGTCAATAACTATTCAAGTTTCACTTTTTTATTGTAACCTGTTTATAATTGTTTATAACATTTCTTTAATAATTTTTTGCTTTCACAAACATATAAAAACACAGGGAAAGCGCACACTGATAACTTCCTGTAGTTCATATTTTAGTCTAACGCTGCAGTCACATATCATCATATTCTAATATTTCCAGGATCATATTCTAATATTGCCTAGGGATTGGACCAGGAGAACGTTCTGGTGCAGGATCAGAGTGTTTTTCAGATACAGGATTAGAAAGTAAATCTGATACAATGAATTCGCTCTAGAACTGGTCT